TACATTCTATAAAAAGTAAGTAGTTACATTAATTAATTGGCAATTCAATATAAAATCTAATTAATTTATAAATAAGTCTTATCTATAAATTAATTGAAATCTCAACTAAAAATAGTATCTTCATCATTGGTTTATGAATCATCAAGGACGGATGACCTTGAATCTCATTTAGCCAATGAGATTTTATTTAAGGAAACTTGTCTAAAGTAATAATAATAATGATAATTGATTCGAGTTTAAAATTGCAAAATAATAAGGTCGTGGATGCGCACTGCTGAGAAGTCCCACAATAGGACGAAACGACCGTTCATTGCTTCCAGGTTTTCCATGGTGGTCTAGCTTCAACTGAATCATGATCTTAACCATTGAAATTAAAATTATAATAAGTTGATTGAATAGTTTATTAATATCAAAAAGGTTTTTTGTAGATATTAAAGTAATTTCAATAGTTGAGATCATAAGTCAATTGAAACTAGACCATCAGGGAAAACGTGGAAGCATTGGACGGTCGTTTCATCCCATTGTGGGACTCCTAAGTAGTTCGTATCGACGATCCCTCCGCCTCCCGAGATTCGAACACAGGACAATAGGACGAAACGGTCGTCAAGTGCTTTTAGGTTTTCCATGGTGATCTAGCTTCGACTGACTCATGATCTTAACCATTGAATAGTTTATATTGATAATTTTCATTGAGACATTAAAACACAAAATTCAATGTTGTTCACTTTTCAACAAGTTTATCGTCAAGTTATGCAATCATTTATATGTATATTCCTTGAGGTAACATGACGTGATACAAAGATTTTAACATTAAGCTTTTGATAAGCTAATACCTTAATCTAATATAAGCTTATTGACTTCACACCCCCTCATTTATTAGGGTAAATCATGTAAAAGTTACATATTCATTTCCATAACAGAAATGTGGATCTGATTACAGTTGGACTTCTTTTAATATTTTTTTGTCCTAAAGTTTCATCCCTAAAGATAAAATGGACGTCTTTAGTTCGGACATTTTTCCGGATCGCTTATAACTGACGAAAAGTGTGACATGTTGATATACCAGATTAAAAAAAACACCAGTACCGGAAATGAAAGCTATTGAAAACTGATTAGGAAAGTACGGAAACTGATTTAGAACAAGTGCACCAGTGATCAGAGTAAACTAATTGTTAGGATAGTCGGATAAATATACCAATAATTATTGTGTTAAGTCTACGGTGGCCTTGGACCTTAAATGTACATTTCCTATTGGTCGATGTTTACTTCATTTGTTAAATATTTGTAAATGTTGTTTCCTATTTTATGGTACGATATGGTATGCTTGATTGGTATATAAACAAAGTATGTTTGAAATGTAATGATTCATAACTCAGAGACTGTGACTTGTGTTCTTGACTCAACAGGCTGGGACAGACAGCGAAGCAGGGCCAATCAGGGCACTAGGTCGTCCTTATGTGTTTACGTGTCACTGTCACCGAATCGATCAATAAACGCTGCTTAGCATAACCTGCAGTCACACGCGTTACAACACTAATTTGGTCAGATAGCCTACACTGTCAAGTATACCAATCAGAATAATAGAAGTCCAGAGGAATGATTATAATTACTTTAATCATTTCAATTCATAATCCCTGTGATTTAACACATAGAACACCGAGCCAGAAATTACTACAGTTTATAAATATCAAACGATACATAGCCGAGATATTGCCTCCAAACGCCTTGGTACGGTTGAAAGTGGGGAGAGTCAACTCTCCCTCTCCAAATGCTCTCACATGGACACGTGCATAAAACCACTACCACACAAGTCCTACTCACTGTTTCTCATGGCATTACTGTTGTTTACGAAATTGAAAGGGCGAAAATGGAATGTCCGATGCTTAAACCGGTTTGATGGATACGGATGGTCCATTTAGGGAAGTTGGAAAACCCTGATTTCAAGCCAATGGTACACATGGGTACCAGTACCTTGAGGGAACACATGGCGTATGAACTAATCGTTGATCACCGGCTATCATGAGACTGCATCTCCTGACGTTGCTACACTGTCTTGTAGATTAGACCTGCAGGTCGAAGGCTCAGGGTGTGGCCCCGGAAGGAAACCACGTGGTTCGGCTTGGGCACCCGGGTAGTATCCCAGCCCTCACACAAATCGAATGATTTATATGGCGCATATCTATTTGGTGCCTTCTTGTACCAATTTTTATGTGTTTAAATAAATAAATAAATAGAAAGACATGATCTGAATTTCTATCAGACCACTTTCGACTATATTTTATCATCTTAGTCACATACTGGAGGCGGAGTCATTTATACGAGTTCATGATAGTAAATAAAAAGCGACTCATATTTTCCTAAAAATTTTTATTGACTTGGCTCTTGTTTCATAAAAATAAACAATCTTATTAGTCATACGATAACAGTAACCAGTTTTGTCTCAACGTGGTGGCGGTTATAATAATGAACAGCCTACACAAATTATTACTGAATTAGAGAATTGCAAGGAGTATTTTAAACATCAGTCACAAGTAATGAATCCACTTTAAGTTCCCAATACCTTATGATCATGATAATCCTATTTCATTTGAACGACTTCACTGTATGTGTTAAGATGCTGCATAAACTTCACACAATCAGTTGATTTAAATCGAATCTTAAAGAATACGTTTAAAAATTGTTCAATAAAATGGCTTATCGAGATTTGTGTAGTTATACTAAGTGGGCGAGTTAAAGACTGTTAAGATCTTGTATCCGACTTATTAGTCATCAAGCAAACGGGTTAAGTGATATATATATTGCTTAAAAAGTGATGGAACTCTAACGTGTAATGTCTTTACATTGTTTATGGATTTGTCAAAGTACACTTGGTAAAGAGACTCACCATCTATCCAGATAATTCTGGAAAATATAGAAAAGAGCCAGTCTTTATTGACAATCGCTGCCGGAAAAATCTTTGATGCTGATGACCAGTCATCTAGTTTTACGGTTTATTTAAACGATAACCTTTCACTCCCTGACAAAAAGAAAGGCCAATTAATCTATTCTCTATCAGACACTGAAGAAAAGGATCGGCAAATTCAACTATTGAGCGATTGACAGTTAATGTCACCTTTTGTATTTCACATCTAGAAATCGTTTCCCCAAATTTTGATAATTAAGCACCATAATTTAATCATGATTTGGTCAAATTGTAAACCATTTTCGCCACAGACCGACAATGGCTGAAGAGAGTTGAACAAATGAATTATTGCAGTTTGAGAATTCCCATCACTGGGTAGATGCCACTGCATACAGGATTGAATTCAGTATATTTTGATTTGAAGGTTAACAACAAAATGAGTTGAAGTTTAATGATCTGTATTTCCCAAACTACAAGAAGTCAACTATTCAGGTCTATCTAATTTTCGATAAGTTTCTAGTTGATATTAGTACATGATAAAAATTACTGTCAAGTGCAAAAGAAATATGATTGTTTATTTAGTTAAGTGAATCTATCAATGATAGAATTGCTTGTAGAGTAAATGAAGCTCAAACCCAATATACTGCTGACAAACTTTTCTTCAAATACAAAAGCTTTTGCCTATTTAAAAAGTTATCCTAACAGTTCCTATTCAAATGAACAGTTAACATCCAACTGTACAAAACATAACTTCATGTCTTTAAATTAATCTCATTCTTTTACAGTTCGTAGGTGTTAATTCTCGTAAGTCACGTACTGGTAAAAAGTCGATCGCCAAAAATGAAATGAGTCTCTCATGTACATTTGGTAGAAGTGAAACAATTAGAAAGAGTTCTACAGTATGCTTTCCAGTTGCCTTACGAAGTAACCTAAATTCAACCCTCAACATAACTTGTTTACGTCATAACCCGATGAGTCTTCTTTATTAGTTGAGGATTTTTCTGCCCATCATATTGCACTACTAAATGCCAGCCACAATACAGTTAAAATAACTCGAATTTTAACTGCGGGAAAGAAGACCTTCACTTTCAATTTTCATGAACAAATTGCTTCCCGATAAACAGTTTAGCCATGTTACATCGGTTGAATTTCTGTAAACATGCGACAGCTTTCTTCATATGAGAGGAATCTAGTAGGTTTCAGCAGTCTGATATTGCTCCATTTAAGATTAGCTTTTATCTGTGGACATTCATCTAACCATTCTCTTCAGTTACATGCTCCTTAGTCAACAGACAAACGGTATGTGCTATCAAAAAAACCAAATAAAGTATAACATGATACCTTGTTAGATACCGTTTTATTTCCGTCTTATTCTCTTCTGTGCACCAATTCGTTATTTATTTGAACACATAAATACTGGTACAAGGGGACACCAGATACATATGTTCCACACAAATCTCATTTGATTTGTGTAAGGACTGTGATACTGCCGGAGTGCCCAAGCCGAACCACGTGGTTTCCTTGCGGGACCATACCCTGGGCCTTCAACCTAAGGGTATGAACCACAAGACAGTGTAGCAACGTCAGGAGATGCAGTCTCATGATAGCCGGTGATCAACGATTAGTTCATACGCCATGTGTTCCCTCAAGGTACTGGTACCCATGTGTACCATTGGCTTGAAATCAGGGTTTTCCAACTTCCCTAAATGGACCATCCGTATCCATCAAACCGGTTTAAGCATCGGACATTCCATTTTCGTCCTTTCGATTTCGTAAACAACAGTAATGCCAGGAGAAACAGTGAGTAGGACTTGTGTGGTAGTGGTTTTATGCCCGTGTCCATGTGAGAGCATTTGGAGAGGGAGAGTTGACTCTCCCCACTTTCGACCGTACCAGGGCATTTGTGGGCACCAATTCGTAAAACATAAAGAAAGCATTTTAAGGATAATATGTAAAGAAGGATCGGTATCAATTACGAAAATAAAGTGTTGAACTAGGAGGAACACTAGTGCCTAGTGGTTAATCGAATTAGTTTTGTAAAAATAGTTGATTTCATATGTGTTAAATGTGAACTATTATAAATAATCAAAACTGAATATAACAAAAAGATAATATTTATTTAGGGGTACTCTTTAAATACTGTTTAGAATTTTTTTTAAAAGACACCAGTAAAAAAAGTGCATTGTAAATAATGGATGTATATTATTCTGAATGTACTTATATTATTCTGGTGGGTTTTTTTTCAGGGTATGCAGTACAAAAAACAAAATGCCAATACGAATGAAATAAAGCAACTTTAGATTACAAGGTACAGTGTAAAAAAAAGATGAACAAAGCATATAATCAGAGTAAGTTTAATATATATCCACAAACGGTGCAAAATCACAAATTACATAGGCTAACATAACACTTTTTGAAAAAAGTAGGTAAGGAAGTTACAAAATCCAGAGTCAGTGGTTATAGAAAAATGTAAGTCTAATCCTTCTGAACTTAAAGTTTATATAACAACTGAAAATGCTGCTGTAAGAAACTGTTCAAATGAAAACTGAGCTTGACCAATCATTCTATAGTCATATCGCCTGAATGCTCCCGTGAGAATCTGAAATAAAAACAAGTTTCAAGCACAGTACTAATTAGTATCAGAATGGTTTTTCGTGGATATTATAGTAATTTTAATAGTTGAGATCATGAGTCAATTGAAGCCAGACCATCATAGAAAACCTGGAAGCACTGGACGGCCGTTTCTTCCTATCGTGGGACTCCTCAGTACCAATTATTCAGGTGAATAAGCTAACGAATTCCTGATACATCGATAAGTTTCTTGTTAAACAACTGGAAATTAGGTACTTTGCAGTTCCCCTGATACGTTTTAGGTCACTTAAGTAGTATTTACTTATCTGGGTCGACTTATCTACAAAACACTAAATCGAATATATATTTATCCGTCCAGTTTCAATTAATGGACACAGATGAATGAATCAAGAAAGTGGTAGAATTTTCTCCTGTAATTTTTATGTCAACTTTTGTGTTTACCTAAATACATTCGGTTCCTGTTTCTCTTGTAAAAAACTTCGTTTCTAGCTTATTCTTGTTCGTATTTGCATCAAGTCAAGTGAAAGGTAACAGTTGAACACGATTAAAAAAGGGGAAGAATAAAACAACTGGTAAAATATCCTCTTTAGTTGAGTGATATCTAACTAATTAGGTTACCCAGAGTCATGTTTAATTAGTTACTGATATAGCGGGTGGTTCAAAATATTCTCCTCTCTCTGTGATATACTAAAATAATACGTTAACACAAAAATGAGACTAATCTTCTCAGTGATCGAGTTTACAGTACCGCTAGATCGGATACTTGAACGGTACACAACACAGAGACTCGATCACGTTATGTCAGATACAGGATTTACGACACAGAATAGAGAAAAAAATTAACACTAGATAACACTTTATTCAACGCAGCTACAAGCAGTCAAACTCAGCGAACTCGGAGTAGAAATCGATGAGAGGAAAGGAAATTACATATTTAATAGTCAGTAGGCTAAGTGCTTGTTTGCCCACGCTCCATGATCAATCACATTTTACTTTCACTAACAGCTACTTTTGAATAGATGGGTTATTAAACTGTCTTACTCACTGGGTAAAAGACTAGGGTGCTAGATTTAAAAGTACATTCATTTTTAAGTGATAAATTATTGCTGGAAATATTTGATATATGGTTGATTTATTTCGCTTTTTAGATATTGGATTTAATTTTCTTAAGATAAGTTGTATAACTTGTATTTCCGAGAAAATTCTGGAGGTTACTTTTAGAAGTACATTTACGGAGATCGTCGATACTGTCTTCTAAAGATGTTTCGATTTCATGAGCCCCCAAATGCACTGGTATGGCGGAGAGTGAGGTGGGCCCTCACCCCCTCTCGAAATGCTTTCACATGGCCACGCGTATACAGCCTCTGCCAGGAAAGTCCTACTCACTGCTTTCTCTCACCGGGGTGTTGTTTACGAAAATCAGAGGACGAAAAGCGAATGTCCGGCGCTTTAACCGGATCCTAAACCAATGGTGCACGTAGGATCCAGTATCCTGCAGGAACAAATGGCGTATGAACCAATTTTCGGTCACCGGCTACCACGGGACTGCATCTCCTCACGATGCTCCACTGCCTTGTGGGTTAGACCTTTAGGTCAAAGGCTCGGGGTGTGGCCCCCTAAGATAACCACCTGCTTCGGTCTAGGCACCTGGGTAGTATCACAGCCCTCACACAAATATGATGAACTGTCGACAATTATGGAAAATACTTTTCTTGCTTCGATTATTAATCAAACGATTCACATTATTGTTATTATTATTATTATTTAATACGTCATTTATTCACTCTCTTTTATTCCCACTCTGTCTATCCTTACTTTTTGACTTATACAGCAGCTCGCCTATGGTGGAAATTAGGTTCTATCTAAACGTTCTCGAGTCACCGCCTGGTTGAAAATTGTATGCTACCATCGAATACGAATGCTGAAGCAGTTTTTCTGTAACCACGTGCACCATTCAAACTGGCTGCCTTCAACGTTCACACACTTATGCAGGTTGGACAACAGATAGGGCTGGCTATGTCTTTGGAAAGTCTTAATATCGATGTCTGCTGTCTATCCGAGACCCGTATTTAAGACTCTGGTGAAGTACTACAAATTCGCTCTACATCTGTCGCTTCGAAAAGCTTGTTTTACGTGCGCTTATCCGGGGACCCTGTAGCATCTTCGTCTGGTTTTGCTGGCGTTGGTGTCGCACTAAGCGCTAGAGCTGAGGCAGCACTAGTCGATTGGATCCCCATTAACAGTCGGTTATGTGCTGCTACATTAGGGAGTTCCATCAAAGTGATAAGAAATCGGCGTGAGAAACGATGTCTTTTCGTCATCTCCGCCTATGCTCCGACAGATTGAAGCCCGGATGCAATCAATGATGAATTCTACCACCAGTTATCAGTTCTTCTCCAGAAAGGGCGTTCGACAGATATTGTAGTACTAGCCGGAGACTTGAATGCTCAGGTCGGGCGTCTAGGCACAGAAGAGAGTCGTTTAGGTGGCCGATGGGGACTTCTTGGTCGCAGGACAGATAACGGGGACTGTCTACTGCAACTGTGTACAGACCACAACCTGTTTCTGGCTAGCACTAACTTCCGGCACAGTTGTCGCCGATGTGCCACCTGGCGTCCTCCCTCTACATCTCAAGCCTGGACTCAGATTGATCACATCGCGAACAGCTACCGCTGGCGTGGTTGTGTACAAGACTGCCACTCCTTTTGGAGTACCTATCTGGACTCTGACCATGCCTTGGTCTGCGCCAATCTTACCTTACTTTTCAGTGGACAACGAAGTGACCGCCACCAACGGATTGATATTAGCAAGCTGGTTGCAACTTCTGTTGCTAGTAAGTATCGAACCGAGCTAGTTTCTAGGCTAGCTACCATTCCACCGAAAAGTATAGATGAGCATTGGTTGCAAGTTCATGACGCCATGAAAATGGCGAGTAAAGCCGCTTGCGGCTTCGCAAAACGCTCCGCTTATAAGCACTGAGTTTCTTCAGGCTCCTGACAACTCATTGAAGCCCGTCGGTCTACTCCGGGTAACCGTGAGTTTGACCATAAACGAAGGATGTTACGTAAGGTAATTGGGCAAAGCTTGCGTAAGGACCGAGAAGCCTGGTGGTCGAAGCGTGCTAATGAGCTGGAAGCAGCAGCTGCATATGGTAACTACCGGAAGCTCTTCCAACTCATCCGAGCCACTGGCAGCAAGAAGTCTGGTGTGAGCGAAACAATCTGCGAGGATGATGGGATGCCAATCACTAACATCCATCGACGTCTTGGACGATGAGCAGAATTCTTCGAAGGCAGTTCAACTGGCCTGCTGCTCCGGCAACATCGGTCAGACTGTCCTGCCCGCCATGGCCGGTGACGACTGATCCACCAAATGAGGCGGAAGTCCGCAAGGAACTCCAACTCTTGAAGCGTTACAAATCACCTGGCCCAGATGACTTACCTCCGACTCTTTTTAAAGATGGTGGTGACTTTCTGACTAAGGAACTGACGACGTTGTTTACAAAGGTTTGGGAACTAGAGAGTGTGCCAACGTCATGGAATGAGTCGATAGTTGTCCCTATCTTTAAAAAGGGTTCACGTCGTTCCTGTAACAACTATCGGGGGATAAGTCTACTTCCGATTGCGTCCAAGCTATTGGCTTCCGTCATACTTCGTAGGTTGTTCAAAACTCGAGAAAAATTGACTCGCGAGGAGCAGGCTGGGTTTCGTTCCGGTCGAGGATGTATTGATCATATCTTCACCCTCCGCCAAATGTTAGAACACCGTCATACTTGTCAAAGGCCAACAATCGTAGTGTTTCTTGACATCAGGGCTGCCTTCAATTCGTTGGATAGGACTGTTCTCTGGGATTGTCTATTGAAGAAGGGTGTGCCTGAGAAGTTTATTAACATCCTAAAGGCCCTATATACAAACACTTCGGGTAGAGTGAAGGCATACAACCACCTCTCTCAATTGTTCCATTCAAGCAGTGGGGTTAGACAGGGTTGCCCAATCTAACCATTCTTCTTCAATTTTGCCATCGATGACATTCTGGAAACAGCTCTGATTTATGTAAGTGATGGCGGTGTGGATCTGTTGCCTGAAGAAAGACTTCTCGACCTTGAGTATGCGGATGATATTGTCTTATTGTGCGATAATCCCCAAGACATGCGATCCGCACTTAACCAGTTGGCAATCAATATCCGTAAGTACGGTATGTGCTTTGCACCTTCGAAGTGCAAAGTACTTTTACAAGACTGGCAGGATTCTAATCCTGTACTCACCCTGGATGGTGAGAAGATAGAAGTAGTCGAGAAGTCCGTGTATCTAGGTAGCTGCATAAGTGCTGGTGGTGGCGTGAGTGATGAGATCAATGCATGTATAGTGAAAGCTAGGGCGGCTTATGCCAATCTGGGCCATCTTTGGCGCCTTCGTGATGTCAGTCTGGCTGTAAAAGGTAGGATCTACAACGCGTCAGTGAGAGCAGTCTTGCTCTATGCTTGTGAAACCTGGCCTCTTCGAGTTGAGGATGTTAGACGACTCTCTGTGTTCGATCATCGCTGTCTCCGAAGAATCGTTGACATCCAGTGGCAACAACATGTTAGTAATGCAGAGGTTCGGCATCGTGTGTTCGGGTGCACAGACGATAATCCAATTGGTGTCACCATCTTGAAACACCGACTTCGGTGGCTTGGACATGTTCTATGAATGTCGTCCCAGAGAATTCTACGTCGTGTATTATTTGCCGACTCTGGGACTGGTTGGAAAAAGCGGAGAGGTGGTTCAGAATAGGAGCCAGTGGCGATCCTGCTGTAACCTTCTTTTACTTTCTTCATAAAAAAATGGTTGCTTCTTCCTTAACTGAAAGATCTCTTCTGATTGTACGTTTCCGTTTCCCCCATTGTTATTATTATTACACTACCTTACACTAATATGTTCGTTATTGTTCTTTTTTAACGCTCCTTACCTTTCTTTTTTTTTCCTTCTTCTCTCCAAATTCTCATTGTTTTGTGTGTTTTGGTGCCCTCTTGTACCAGTATTTATGTGTTCAAATAAATAAATAATAAATAAATACTTCCAGAAATACCAGTTTTCTCCTACATTAGCGAACTTGTAAATATTTGATAAAACAATAGTTGGCTTTCTTTAAATAAACAAACAATAATAATTAACACATCAATAACACTCACTTGTAAACAGACACATGCATAAATGAAATCATCAAATGAAATAGATTCTCGACGATTATGACCAAATCGACGAACCATAAAATTTATAAATTGTGGCGATAGACTATAACCAAACCTCATCAAAGCAGTACTGAGTTCTTGACGGTCAATTGAACCGGAGTTATCTCGATCAAATTGTCGGAAACAATTTTGCCAATCATTTACATACTTAAAAAGTTTACCAAATTCATCGAAACTAATTGTTCCATTCATATCACAATCAAACATTGTAATCATTAACTGTACTGTTCTTATGTTGAACATCGTTCCCAAACCTTTATTGCAAACGAAAAGTTCCAAAAAACCAGTCATATTCTTTGGAAGAGCATAAATAACGGTTTACATTGAGAAATATTTGTATTGTGAAACTAAGCAATACTTTTTCTCAGACTTCTAACTAAATGGTTGAAACAGTGAGGCACTAAAGTAATCAGAGGAGTATTAATAATAAGATAATCTAAAAACAGTAAACATTCCGCATGTTGTATTTGTTTTGAGAAATAGATAATGTCTCCTTCAATTGACTACTACCATCCCTCTAACCCTAATTAAGATGTCGACATTTACTGAAGTATATTAAATGATCGTTTCGATCGAAGTAAGGTCTGAATTTGATCATTCTAGTATTTTCCACCGCCATCCTATTCTATTCAGTTTTATGAAGGTTTCTAACCTGTAACCCAGTGGTTGGAAGTACCACACGACATTAGTACGACAAGATTAAGCTAAGAGGATGAGGAAGAAACCAAACATAGCAGCATTAGAACTGGATATTAAAAATATGATTCGACAAGACTAGAGAGAATAGAATGAATGAAGGAATACTAGAATTAAGATTGAAGAAAAGATCAACAGTGCAGGCTATAATAACAATCAATGTTTAGAGAATTTAAGGGACATGGCTCAAGATCATTCGCAATGGAGTAGCTGCATGCACTGTTTATCTTTCCTGCAATCTTAATTTCAGTATTCCTTCATTCATTCTATGGCCCCCAAATGTCCTGATACGGCCGAAAGTGAGGAAAGTCAACTCTCCCTCTCCAAATACTCTCACATGACCACGTACATAAAACCACTACCACACAAGCCCTACTCACTGTTTCTCCTAGCATTACTGCTCTTTCCGAAATTGAGAGGACGAAAAGCGAATGTCCGATGCTTAAACCGGTTTGATGGATACGGATGGTCCCCCTAGGGGAGTTGGAAAACCCTGATTTCAAACCAATGGTACACATGGGTACCAGTACCTTGAGGGAACACATGGCGTATGAACCAATCGTTGGTCACCCGCTACCATGAGACTGCATTTCCCGACGTTGCTCCACTATCATGTGGTTCATACCCTTAGGTTGAAGGCCCAGGGTATGGCCCCGTAGGGAAACCATATGCTTCGGCTTGGGTACCCGAGCAGTATTTCAGTCCTCACACAAATCAAATGGTTTATGTGGCGTATATCTATTTGGTCCCTTCTTGTACCAATGTTTGTATCTAAATAATAATAATAGATTAACTCTATGGAATTAAATCTTGACCACAAACATTTAGAATACATGATTACTGGCTACATATTTCACGAGAAATATAGCTGTATGAAACAGCTGTAAGAGATTAATCATGATCTTAAGGCGCAAAAGTATTCTCATGAGCTGTGTGAATTATCAAACTATTCATTTTAGTAGGGAACCCCCCAAGCTAAGTTGGATGACACCAGTAAATTAGTCAAAGCGTAATGCGGAAATTGCGTATGTGTGCATATGTTTAGGCCGCCACACTACATTAGCAGAGCGACATCTCATTAATATAGTGCCACTAGCGAAACGGGATAGGTCTGTGTCGTAGTTATTTAAATACACTAACTAGGTTTAGTTCTTGTATAGGCGGAACCTAGTGATGAAGTTCTCTGTATGAAGACTAATTTTTGTAGACAGCGAGAACCAGGTGAACCACTTTGAAATCTTAATCTTCAAGACTTATATCTCATGTCAGTGTACCGGCAAATGAATGCAAAGATTCACCTTCAGGATCACCTTGGAATGTGACCAGAATACGCAATAAGTAGGTGAAATAAGTAAGCACAAAACAAGAAACAGTAGCTGACCTATTTTTATCATTGAATTCAAGCTAAATGACCGATTTTGAAGTGCATATGCACTGTCTTATATATGACAGGAAAACTGAGATCGGATGTCAATAACGAAGATAGATAAACAAATCTGATTTAGACTAGATCTACGACGAATATATCCGTCATTATATATTTATAAATGTGTAATTGTACCGAAGCAACCGAAAAAGGGGAAATCAAGGGGATATTCTGTTGCGACGTCAGAAAGTTTAAAGAATAGCAATTAACTGTTGGTTCCAAAGAAAACTACAACATAGAACTAACGTGATGTAAGTTTTACTCTAAAAACAACGCCACTTAAATAACAACAATTAAATTAACTCACCGTTCGATAGACAAGATTGCAATTCGTCAGCAGTTATATTTCCACTTCCATTTTTGTCAATTCTGAAGGTATTTCAACATATATCATACCACTGATTACCTTCTGAATATACTCCACAAGGCGTTCTGATCCATAACTCGCTTCTTGTCACCAGATAATCTGTTAACAAAGTTTCGTAGAAAGGTCTATAAACCGCACTCAGAATATTTCGTAATCGTGAAGGTCACCAATTTTCAGATTCAGATTTCAGATTTGTGTAGTGAAGACAGAATGTCTACGGCCTATGTTATTCTTTTTCTAGTATGGTCTTCTTTTGAATAAGTCAATTGAAGGTGCGGAAACCACTGCTTCGGGTAACAGGTTCCAAGAATTGTTGACTCGGTGTGAAAACCTGTATGCCATGGGTATTTTGTTCGTTTTTGGCTTTTCTACTCGCCTACTACGTCCTCTGAGATGTTTTGATCGAGTGGGAAGAAAAAGAAAGGATATGGAAGGTCCGAAGTCATTTCTTAGTATTCTATACATCGAAATCAGATCATCTCTTAATCTGCTACAGGACAGAGTAAAGAGGTCTAGCCTCTCAAGCCACCCTTTGTATGGTAAACCCCAGAGTTTTAGAATTGCACACTAGTTGCCATCTGTACTTCCTCCAGGATATCTGAGTAACCTTTTAAAAAGGGGCTTGCAGCCTGAACACAGTTTTCAAGGTTAGTTCTCACTAAGGTTTTGTACACTGTAGTTAACATGGTAGTATCTAGCTTGGTGAATGTCCGTCCTAAAGCCCATAGGGTTCTAAACCCCTTAGCTGCAACTTCCCGGTAGCGGGCTGTGGTCTCAAGATCATGACTCACTGTTACCCCAAGGTCCTTGTGAGACCGAACCACGGGTACAGGTACTTCCCTCATACTGTACCCATTTACCTTTGTATCCTCAAATTGCATGTAGACATACTTGGGTGCGTTCGTAGACATTAGCTACTCTTCAGACCAGCTAATCAGAATACCTAAGTCTGCCTGAAATGCTCATGCGTCTATGCTTTCTTTTATTTCTCGCCAAATGTTTTACATCATCAGAGTATAACAGTATCGGGGACTCAACTACACTTGAGAGTTCATTTATATAAATTGTAAAAAATAGAGGACCTGGTAGCGAGCACTGTGACATTCCACTAAATACCGGTCTCTAGATGGAGCACTTTAAATTTACTCTTACTTTCTGTCTTCGATCTACTAGGAAATCCTTAATCTATTTTGGGAGATTTTACAGCTTAAAAGCAGTCTATTTATTGTCACCTTATCAAATGCCTTGCTGAAGTCTATGCTGACAACATCCACTGATTCTCCATTGTCTAGAGCCTCTATCCATTGCTCCCTTATTATAAGGAGGTTTGGTGTACAATAACAACTTTTTCTGAAACCAAGTTTAACAAGATGTTGGTTTCCACGAATGTCATTGTGGTCATTTTGACCATTCTTCCCAGTATTTTAGCTATGACACTGGTGAAAATGACAGGTCTGTAATTTGATGGAAGTTGTCTTGGTTCTGTTCTATGTACCAGAGTGACATAAGCATCCTTCTAGTTCGTAGGTAACACACCTTGGCTAAGCGACCCACTGAATATTACAAACAGTGGGGCTGCAATATATTGTGCAGTTTGTCTCAGGATTTTGGGATGTTGTTCATCCTGTCCGGTTGACTTTTCCGTGTCTTAAGTGCCAGGAGCCTTAAGTACAGAGTCTTGATCAAAGTCCACGGTGAACAGACGGTCTGTTGACTTCGTATTTGGGTCTAGTTCTTCGTCATGAGGAGGCTCCTGAGTGAAAACTACCTCGAAATAGATTGCCACAGCCCCTGCTTCTTCCTGATCATCCTCTATCATTTCAGATACCCTCCCTCCCCGTTATCAGGCTGGAAATCCACTTCTGCGTCCTTGTTCTGTAATTTATGTGCGAGAGGTCTCTTAGGATTCTTGATTAAAGACTGGGCTAACTACATTTCTCCACCATCTCAATATTTGCTTTGGGCTTCCTGGATTATAATAATACACTTATTTCTATCCGACCTGAAGCGTTCCATTGTACTTGTTGTGCCAAGTCTGATTGCGATGTTTCAGTTTTTCTTGTCTTAGTAAACGTCGAATATCCTAGTCCATACACGGATATTAATGTCTTTCTTTCTTTTGGACTGTCTAGGGTATATTTGATTGTATAACTGTTGGAACTAAGTTCACGCCTCTTCAATTGATGCTAAGGAGTCAATGTTCCAGTTCTCAACCGAGGTTGCAGAGTCTATCGCCTTTATGACTGCCTTCCATATGTTAAGATGGGCAGGTACAAATATTTGACAGGCCATCTCACCCATGAACTTCAATTAGATTACTGTATGACCACTTCTTTCTATAGGTAAAGGAACGTTATTTGACGGACATCATCACCATATATGAAGACGTAATGTAAGATAGACGAGTCTTTTCGCATGTCATATCTGGTGGGATCTCTAATGTGCTGGAGTAAGGCTAGGGCGACTATAGTTTATAACGGTTGGTGATCAAACGATGTTTTAGATTATCTTTTACCTAAGTTTTTCGGATTTATAGAGTATGCATTAAAGTCACTCACCATATGTATTTTACAACTGTTTGACTATAGTCTAGGTTTATTTCGGAGGAAGTCGTTCACTACACACTCTGAACTTCAATACACTACGACTAATTCAATTTATTGGCCATTATATTCGTGTTCTAAGTGAATGGGCTTATTTTGGTAGAAAAATAAGCTATTAGCTTAACTGGTAACATGTAAGAAGATAGAATCAAAAGGATAATGGTGGAAATGGAGGTAATATTAAGAGAGATACGGAGTAATTAATAACACACGATAATGGTAACCGGTAATTTACGAGACATGCATCAGATACAGCTGGTCCAAGAGGAAGATGGCAACCCGTGAGTGATTATGTATTGGCACTGGGTCCTAATCACATAATCCTCAGAGCTGAACACGAGGAAACTGGGAAAGTAAATATTTAAAACATAACGCGGAGAAAATCCCAACGAGGGAGGAAGTGGGAAGAGGTAAATCAGTTAATTCGAAATGATCGAACGGCATGGCTCGGCCTTGCAGGTGTGGCTACCCTTGGATGTTCATATAAAATATATTGTTCTATCTCCAGCTTGAATGTGTTTTCAACCATATATTGATGGTTGTTACGACACGATGAGTTGGTGTAGATAATAATGTGACTTCCACGTAAGATCTTATAGAGTAGGCAGTTACATCATAACAAATCTACAATTTTAGGATTAAGTCTATTGTTACAGCCGTACTAATATCATAGTAGGCCATAATTCTACAAGTACCTTTTTGTCAAGTCTCCTCTTAAAGCTATCCACTGAGAGAGCTGTGCTCACTCCGGTTGGGAGCATACCAAATGGGAGAAACTCTTAATGAAAAACGTAATAGCTTGTCTGGATGTCTGTTCTTTGATGTTTACTCTTTTGAGGGTTGCCTTGAGAAGTGTGTAGATCATTTTCTGGCAACATGGTCACGTTAGGGTGGCTCGGTGTACTTAATATATTGTAGGTTCTTGTTTTAGGATTATCATCCACTTGGTTGTCTGTCCGTGTACTTAGTCCAAGAGACATAACATTTTGTACTTTAAGCCAGCGTCCTAGTTCCCCGTCGTTACAAGCACGAGAACACGTCCAAAAGAGTCAACTGAGAGAGTTGTGCGGAGGATGTAAGTGCTTTGTGTCGAGTGAGGAAGAGTGTTCATGGCATGATATTTCAACAGATTGAGTTTTAGCCCATTCCCTACTGCTCAGTCCTCTATTGCAGGGTCCCTTTTAATCTGAAGTAAATCCTTTTCGCCCTTTATGGATCTCTAGATCTTTACATCATCTGCGTAGACTAGTGCTGCTAAGGTAATCTTATCCTTCAGGTCGTTAATATACATCAAGAACAAGAGAGGACCTCGCCTTGGTACGGAAAATCTTGCTCTCTAGGTTGTTTTGAAGCAACGACAGAAGGTCAGCGGAACTCATCCTAGTAACCTTTGCTATGAGAAGTACATGAGGTAGTGTGTCAAATAATTTTGTGGACTCCGAGAATATCACGTGAACAGTTGGCTGCCAAGTTCTCCAGTGCTATGAGCCGACTAAACTTACAGGACCTATCTTTCTTAACCTGTGTTGAGCTTCACGGAGGATGTTGTTTCTATTCATGTGTTCCTTCATTCGTTCATTGGTTAGTCCTTCGATTGCCTTCGATGGTATTCAGAGTATTGTGACTGATATGTAACAGGCCCAGACTTTTCTATCTCCCCCCTTTGAATATTGGAACGAGAGTGGTTTGCTTCCATCCTCTTGGGAGTTGGTGTGAATATAGTGAGTATACTGATGGCTTCAACGCATTGTTTCAAGATTATCGGTCGGATGTCATCACATTCTGGTGGCTTTCCTAGGCTCAGGGATTCCGATTTCACTACTGCTAACCCTAAAGTTTGTTGGATATCACATAGGCCCTCAACCGGCACCAGAGTTGAGAGGCGTTTGACGTTTGCAAGCTCCTGGTTCAGTTGGTTCATGAAGTTGGGGACGAAGATCTCTGGCATCTCTGATCTAGTGAGATCTTTGCCATTTGACTCTTTGCGGGTACAGATACTGTACAGATATTGTTTGCGTGTACTCCGGTTGTTGATTACACAAAATGCCACTTGTGGATAACGACACTATGCACATAACCAAGCCTATGTAGGACTCTGTACGCTCTCCAAGCATCCGTATGTATTGTAGTACCTGGCTGCAGCCAGTGCTATTGACGCTTTTATTATCCATTTCGCAATAATTGTCATAATTTGCCTTAGTTGGGGATTATATATAGGGTTTTAATCACGAACTGACATCAGCTACAATGCCAGAAATCTATTAAGTCAAATGGATGAAAGGCTTTCACGCCAAAATCCGTGATCTGTTATCTTATACCTGATTGATTCGTCCACAACTTATAGTCTCGCCGTTTTATTTGTAATAGCCGCTCAACTATCACATTTTGTGCAAAAGTCCCTGTGAACCGATCGTACGTTAGCATTAAGCACTGAAGTTGACACCGTGACCTTGCAATCTCTCAAACGCTTCTGACTGGCTCGTCCATAAATTAGAATTTCGCTGTGGTTGGCCAAATCCAAGTGTAAATATGGTGCTTATTATGTTCTCTTTTTCTTCCAGCTTGTCTGCTCTTCCAAAACGATTCAGGGCTGTGGAAAATTTTGCGCTGAATGGATGTGCAGAGTTAGAAATGATATGCCGATTTGAATTAGTTGGTTTTCGGCATGTGGTTAA